AAATCAATGATAAATTAGCATCATATTATTTACAAAAATTCAATTTATCAATTACTATATGAAAAGTTGGTAAATTTTGTATTGAAGTTTTATTAAGACTTTTGTTGGGCTGTTTACATTAGATTTCTCATATCATAACAAGCAAAAGAAAAAAAGAAAAGAAAAAAGAAAAAAGAAAGGAACTAAAAGTAGGATTATGATAACATTAGTTGAAGACAACTTCTGAAAAAGTATAAGGAGTATTGCAATCCTTGAGGCATAAAGGTAAGTGAAAAGAATTAAAAAATAATGTTAAGAAGTTATACTACTTATATTTTGGTTTAAAACATTTTCAATATAGATAATGAGCGATAGAAGTAAATTATGGTAAAAAGAAATATATAATAATAAATAGAGATACAAAAAGTGACTAAAAAAGAATAATGTATATGGAAACATTTTATTGATAAAAAAATAGAATAAAAGGTGAATTTACTAATATGGAGGGAGAAAGTAAATGCAAGTGCAAGGTACAAGGAGTAAGCAAAGAGATGAAGCCCAAGAAAAAGTAATGAAAAGCGATGTAGACAAGTGAAAACATACCAAGATAATAATGCTAAGAAACTACGTTTTTTATGTTTTGACATAAAACAATTCTAATATAGAGAAGAAAAGAGAAAAAAAAGGTGTAAAAAAGATATAAATAATGATACATTGAGATGCAAGGGAATGACTAAGAAATAATAATAGAAATGGAATAATAATGGGAGAAAAAATAAAAATAATTAAAATACTAATAAAGAGTAGGAATTACTAATATAGAGGGAAAAAGATAACAAACATATGATATAAAGATATATCTAGTGATAAATTATGATGAGGGAATTAAGAAATAAAGTTATGAGAAAAAAACTAATGAGAGTTAAAGGTAAGTGAAGAGGTATCAAAGAACAATAGTAATAAATTGTGCCTTTTATATTTTGACTTGAGAAGTTTCTAATATTGATAGCAAGAGAGAGAAAATTGAGGTAGAAACAAAGGGGCATATAATGATTGACAACGATGTCTATAATTACTAAGAAAGAACAATAGAGAGGATGATAAGTGAAAAAAGAATAATAAAAAAATAAATCACTAATCTATAGAGGAAAATAGAGGGCAAATGCAAGGTAGAAAGATAAATATAAAGATAAAATATTGAATGAGAATCTGCAAGACTAAGTCTCAAGAAAAATTAATAATAAGAGAAGTGGAGTAAAGGTAAGTGACAAAGAATTAGAGAATAATGTTATGAAGTTCTACTACTTATGTTTTAGCCCAAAACATTTATAATATAGACAATGGTAGAGAGAGAAAATTTTGGGTAAAATAGAGATTTATAATGATAAATAGAAATGCAATGAATGATTAAGAAATAATAATATAAAATGAAAGACAAAGAAGAGTTATTATCCATTTACACAAATTTATATACATAAAACTTAGATGAAATCTTGATTATTCATTTTTTTATTATGAAGGATTAAGATTTAATAAGATTTAATCTATTTTTTTTTATCTTTTGTTTAAGATGATTATCATTTTTTATCTAAAAAGTCATAATAAATCTTACACAACTTTATGTTTTGATAAGTGAAGTAAAGGCAAATGAAAAAGTATTAAGAGAATAATATTA